AGTAACTGTGAACCTTGTTCCCAGTGACGCTCGAGTAGTTGTTCGAACGATAGCGACAGCACGCCAGTGCCATGCGGACCAGGACTAAACGATAAGAATAAAAATGAGCAGAACCCAGCAAAACCAAACGTAGAGCTTACCCTACAAAAGTTTCGCTTGATGCAGCTGATGTTTTCACTTCTCTTTTAGAGCAATGAACGGAACTGACAGAAGCTGGAGCAGTTGAAAAGCCTAAAAACCAAATAAACATACAGAAATAAAACAAGAAAAAAGTATTACCAGAGAAAAATGTGGTAAAACGATTAATTTCCAACTTAATATTAAGTCATTACGTTCAAGATTTCCGTTCGTTTGGATATGCATAAATATATGAAACCTGAAGGCACTGGCAAACTAGTTCAGTTCGAATCGGATCAGATGGAAAATATCCGTCAGATTCATTTTCGTAGAGAACAGAAAAACGTCAAAACAAACAAATAAAAACACAAGTCAAGTCAGTTGAATTCAACAAAGGAACTTCAGCGGATGCAAAAAATGAGTATCGTTGGGTCGACTGAGAAATGAAAAGAATCTTGGCCGCGCCCAACAGACCGCGACAGAAGGCCCAGGGGACGGCCAAGATTAACCTGGTGCAAATAAATGGAAGGAGTTTGCTCCAGACTCTAGTTGTCTTCTGCCGAAGCTCAGACTCCGGCACAGGATCGAGAACGTTGGAGGCACTGTATGACTCTTCTGCCCTCCGCGACCTGAAAGGAGATGCGGTCATGGAAGATGAAGAGCATGGTACACTGCCTAATAAAATCAGAGAACGCGAGAAAACATCACGAAAGAAGAGTAATATAAGCGTATACTGCAGAAAGGGGTACTGCATGAAAAATTAAATAGCTGTCACAAGATGACATACAACTAAAGAGTAGGGAATAACGTCTGAGTGAAAACCAGTTTGGCACTATGCCGGATCGGTTAACAACATGCACTGTCTTTGCAATAACGTCAGGCCTCGAAGCGACCGACAAAAAGCGCATGACTGAACATTAAGTCAGAAAATATAGCGAAATGCGAGAAAAATATCTGATATAAAAAAATGTTTTATCGAAAATATGCGATGAGCTCAGAGTTATCAGTGCGGGTGTGAAGGCCATCAAGGGTCAGCATTGAGCTCATTTCCGTTTTCGATGATCACAAATGCCGGAAGCAGCCCCACACTGCATTCTCTATGCCGATACTGTGTTGAGTAGTGAAAACATTTAAGCAGTAGAAAATGCGCGAAACGGAAAAAAGTCCTTGGAAACAAGACAGGTAACACGGAGGGCTATTTCCGGAGAGAACGGAAATGTCATCAAATCTGTAGTGGTGGTGAAACGTGTACTGCCTAAAACCAAAGAATTAAAGCACCTCACTTCCATAAGATAAGATAACGGAGAAACCGACGGTGAAAGAGGAAATTATCCAAAAAACACCTGGCTGAACTGGAAAGGTTAATGACGTCGTGCTGTGAGAAATAAAATGGCCATCAGATCACAAGACAAGGCCTACAAGACGATAGTAAAACTTGCCATGTATAGAGCGGAATGTTTGGTCGCTTTGAACAGACAAAAAGAGTAACAGATGAATCAAATGTAAATTTTGTGGCAGATATGAAGTCAACAAGAAGGAAGACATTCGGAATACCCTAATAATTAGGATTTTACGCACAATCTGAACTAAAGAAAGGTTGATGGAAAACAGGCTCTGTTGGTTCGGGCATGCCAGACGGCCTAAAAGAATAGGTAGGCATGTCGTCAAAGGAAGGTTGCTGAGAAAGAGAATAAGGGCGAGAAAAAGAAAGTGGTGCGTAGGCGTTGTACAGAATGATACGAAAAAACTAGGAAGAGTGACGAATGATCGAATATAGTAAAAGTAAGTGACTCATTCTGACTTAAACAAAGGGCTTCTGTTTACGTAAAAAAACCAGGAAAGGTGATGCTAAGACCATCGATGACATGTTTCGCTTATGAAAATACTGGCTTTCAAATGTTCCGCTTAAAACTGTACCGATTTACAGTAATATAGTAAGTTAAAGTACCAACTGGGCAGTTAGTTGCATTCAGCAGTTCGCTGTAGAGAAGGTGATCGGCAACAAGCTTCGAGGATCACCGAAACTGATCCAACTGTTCTCACAGTCTGTAATTCAAAAAATTCATTGAATCATGATGAAAGGAGATAAAAAAAGACAAGTGGATGAGGCGTCGCAACAAAAGTAATTGGATTTCGATTTTAAGGGCAAATAACAAAGTCGTCACTGGAACACTTACCAAAAATACCATTGCCATCTGCTCTGTTTTTGACGCTTGACACGCCGGGAAGCTTGGTAAGCGGAGTTTCGGTGGCCGCCAACGAAGCAGAGCAGCAAGGACGATTGGACGGGTCACCGTTGCTTACGCCGCCGTCGGTTTTCGTCGATGGATCGTCGTAAGAAATGGCAGCTACAGGGGTGGTGGAGGCGTCGAAAGACGATTTGCGACTAGCCGTTTTCTTGTTGGGTCGCTTGCCCTTTTTCGGCGGTGATAAAATTTCAGTTTTCACGATCCTCAGCGGTGCCGCTCGCTTCCTGGTCGTCGCAGGAACGGTAGCGTCGGCGGTGGAGGTCAGCGACGA